GTCACCAAAGCCAAAGCCCGGTGTTAACAGAAGAGTAAATGTTTTGAAATTAACGACACAGCAGTATGAATATAAAGCCAAATTGTGAATCAGAGCCCATCAGGTAAAGTGAAATAAAGGTGACTTGTGAACCCAGAGGCTTCTCCTCAGCTCTAGTCCTTCAAGACACGTGGCCTGGACACGTCACCACAGCAGTGCAGACCTGCCTGCCATCTGTGGAAAAGGGACAGGCTGTCTGTGGTCCCCAGCTGGGTGCGGACTGGGGAGGTGGACACGCCCTGGGTAGGGCGGGGGTCCATCAGCTCCCCCATCCCTGCCCCGTGTGACTGAAGAGTGCTGTGCCTTCTCCCTGGATGGTCTCCATGTGAGCTATCGCTCCTTCCCCTGCCCTAAGTGGCCATGAGGCAGGGCCTGCTCCCTGATGCTCCTCCCCACAGCTGTCCTGCCCTCCACACTCACACCTCAGCACACTGGCCCAGCAGGAACCCAGGCAGGACTCTGGTCAGTGAATCTGGACAATGACAGAGTGGGGTGAGAATTTTGAGAAAACCCAACTTTCATTTTCCCCAGGGCCACAGCTACAACAGGAAGTGAGTGGCCATGAAGCCCCCAGTACAGCCACCAGGGGCACTGGAAGAGACCCATGCCTGTGGGGTGTCCACTGATCCTGTCAGCAGATGCGGTGAGAGTGGCTGCCCGTCCACCCTGGGTTACTCTTTTCTGCAGTAGCTAAAAGGAAAGGCAGTGCTGGGCAGACCTCCACTGCAGACCAGCCCAGAGGTGGGTCTGTCCGAGCTTTCACTACCAACCTAGAAGCCGCTGGCAAAGGGAAAATTCACCCAGACAGCAAAAGTACCTCTGGTCACCAAGAGGTAGCCAGGGTGGGGTGGTGAAGCCAAGCGACGTCTGGGGCTTCAGGGCAAGGGGCTGCTGTGGGTTCTGGAGGGAATTCAGTCTCCCGAGGAGCTTCCTGCAGTGGGTGGGGCTAGCAGGCCTCTACAGAGGCTGTGCCTGGTCTCGGGGCAGGCGGCTGTGGCCGGGTCCCCCCACCTGCAGGACTGCTGAGGAACACTGTGACCATCCCTCTTCCTGCAGGAATGCCAAGTGACGGATCCCAGAGGTGGCAGCGGATGAGCACGGCATGTGAGTGTGCAGGCTGGCCATGTGATTCTCAGTGTCCACCCTCAGAGTAGGCCTGCTTCCTGGGCACGGCAAATGCTCCCCACCTTACTGCTGCAGGGGGAGCAAGAACCAGGAAGCCTCGGCAAATTCACTGCTTCCTCCTGAGTGTCCTACAGGCGCCAGTGAGACAGCAGACTGATTGACACGGAGGGAAGAGTTTGGAAGGGAGAGCCAGACTCTTCTCCAAGGTTGAAATGTTTAAAAGGTCACCAAGAAATGAGGTGGGCCAGTGCAACACTGGACATAACAAAGAGGAGGGAGGATAGAAGAATACAAGGGCCATCGATGGCTGGAAGCCAGTCCTGTGTGACACCCGGAGGGCTGGGCACAAGAAGCCCCATGATCCTCCCACATTAGAGGGCCCCACACAGGCCCCTCTGTTTTCCAGGTTGGAGAAGTTTAAAAAACCAGGAGACAATAACTATGATCAGGAACCTGACCTGCAAAACTGCCTGAAGCAAAAGTTGGACCACTCCATAGAGACCAGATCAGGAGGGGCCAGGGCACTGAGCTGGGCTCGGCCCCGGCAGGGGATCCAAAGCTTCTGTATGAGTAGGTAAAATGGTCAGGGAGTCAGAAGTTTCACGTGTCCTCAGGCCCCCTGAGAGACACGTAAGAACTGAAAGATCAACAGATTCCCAGAGCTGGACTCTGAACAGGCTCTGTGAAGTGGCTCACGTATTGGACCTTGCCTGATATCATATGCAGCTGGGACCTGTTTCCATGCCTGACTGTAAAACCAGAGACACTGAAATCGGATCTCTAAGCCCTGCTGGCTGAAGACGCTCTTCGCAGGTCCACAACACTGTCGGTGCAGCAAGAGTACTGGCGGGGACTCTGCCTGGGATGTGCAGGGGGAAGATGCCCAGACTCAGCCCAGGGCTGCCTGGCTGCACTCTCTGTGTCCACCACTCTATGCACCCTGGGCTTCTGACAAGAGCCCAAGGACCTCCCACCAGGGCCGCCACAACACATACTAGAGGATTCCCTCGGAGGGGCATGTCCGACCTTGCCACTGGACATGAGTCAAAACCATCTCTCTACCCTTGAACAAAAAGGAGTCTTGAGCCTTGAACACCAGGTCTGGGCCATGTGCAAGCCCTCTCATGGGCGGCTGTGCAGAGCAGGTAGTTTGTGAGCTGGGGGAACTTACACAGAATCGTGCTTCCAGGGTGCAAGGAGGAGATGGACCCACGGAGCCTTTTTCCCCAGAACTATTTTGGCACAGTGTGAGAGCTGCCATCACCTGGACTGTGCCCATGAGCACTCGACTGGCTGACAAAGCCATGCTGGGCTAGTGGACAGCACTTCTAAGATGAATGGACAGTGTCCAGCTGAGGGTGCCACCCCAGCCAAAGAAGGGAGAACAGCTCAGACCAGAGGTTGGCCTGCAGCTTCCCCAGCGGTGATGGAAGAATCAAGCAGGGGATCAGCTGCTGTACTCCAGTTTCCACTGAGTCAGGGGGAGTGGCCACAGACCTGGCCAGAGAGAAGGGCAGTGGCAACCAAACCCATCAAAGGCATACCCACAGCAAATGTCTCATCTCATGAGGGGGTCTCCATGGTGGGGATTTGATGGCACATTGAAGTAGGACCTGCCATCAACAGGACATCCCGGGTCTAGAAGGAGATATCCCTGTCCTTGTTGGGCATGGCCACCCGGGAGCACGAAATGGTGGACCTAGAGTCTGCAGCCCGGCAGACCTGGGCTGACTCTGGACATCTTCCTCCTGCACCCAGCAGGGAGTGAGCTGAGGCTGGAACCTTGGAGGCCGCGGGCATCTAGACAGGATCAGATACTGACCATGGGCTTCACTTTCCAGGGTTAGGCACCAGTGCTCAGAGTCCCATGAGAAACAGGAAGGCACCGCACAGGTTTGCAAGGCTGGCTGTCCCTTCTGCAGACCAGGAGTTCAGTTTGAAACCCATAACCCCAGACGGGCAGAGATCATCTTCAGAGTAATGATTGATAGAGACATGGAACGGGAACTAACACATGGGCTGTCTAAAGGGGTGGAGTGGAGACAGGCAGGACAGGCCGGTCCAGCCTTCATGGGCTCAGCACAGGAGTGCTAAAGCAGAGGCCCCCACGCTGGTGGATCTGGGAATGAGGGCGGAGGATGCTTTCCCAGCCCGAGGCTGTTCCCTTGATGCTCCATATCACCCACATCACTTCCCATCTCTAGACACAGTAGTCAGAGGACTAGGACTGCCCCTACAGGCCTGGGAGAAGGGAGATCCCGAGGGTCTGGGGCACTGTGCCTTCTCCTCTCTGGAAAAGCCCCCAGTGCCCTGTATGGTGCCGTGGTACATTCAGCACCTGGGCAAAGCCACTGGCCACTGCAGGAGCAGGTGATGCAGGAGGCTCCTGGGAACTGGCAAGGGCCCATGGCAGAGGCCACAGAATGGGCAAAACTCATGCCACCCCCTGAGTAGAGACCTGGGTATAATAAAGGGAAGAAGCCAAGGCAAAGGCAGGAGAAGGCAGTGAGGAGGAAGGAGCCTGACATCACTGAACACTCGGAAGGCTCAGGGCAGGAGACGTAGGTCTCAGCTCCAGCCAGGGCTGTGGGGCTCTTGGCAGCACCCAGCCTCTCACCTGACCAACAGGATGGGAGAGAGCGCAGACAGGATTCCCTCCACCTAAGAAGGTCTCCACAGGGTGCAGGGCAGGCTGAACAGTTGGAAAAGAAAGGGTACTCTGACTCAGGGCCAGCACCTATTGACTGTTATCATTGACTGTAAGCCAGAGGCCAGGGGTAGCTCTGCGGCACAATGAGAAATATATATATACATATATATATATATATATATATATATATATATATATATATGTATATATATATGTGTTCTCTGCTCCAAATTCCTGACAGAGATCCTACCTCACCACACCCTCCTGAGCCTAGAGGACCCTAACATCTGGGCTTGGCCTAGTCCTGCACAGAGCTCCTACATCACCACACCCTCCTGAGCCTAGAGGACCCTAACATCTGGGTTAGCCTGGTCCTGCACAGAGCTCCTACCTCACCACACCCTCCTGAGCCTAGAGGACCCTAACATCTGGGTTAGCCTGGTCCTGCACAGAGCTCCTACCTCACCACACCCTCCTGACCCTAGAGGACCCTAACATCTGGGCTTGGCCTGGTCCTGCACAGAGCTCCTACCTCACCACACCCTCCTGAGCCTAGANCTCCACCAGCCCCCTCCTCCCCCTGTCACTAGGGAAGGTGACCATCTACACATCCAGACCCTCTGAGCTCAGAGAGAAGCCCCCTCTGCCTCCACCAGCCCTCTCCTCCCCCTGTCATTAGGGAAGGTGACCGTCTACACATCCAGATCCCTTCTGAGCACAGAGAGAAGCCCCCTCTGCCTCCACCAGCCCCCTCCTCCCCCTGTCATTAGGGAAGGTGACCGTCTACACATCCAGATCCCTTCTGAGCACATCTCCTGAGGAACTCACTCAATCCCTGGAGCCAGCCTGTGGTGGACTCTCACATCTGCATATCACAGTTAGATAAGGAAACTGAAATAGAGAGCTTAAACACACTGGCAGAGGAGGGAGGACCTGGCCCAGGCAGTTTGCTGATGGCATCTGCACCCTGAGCCTTGTTCCCTCACTCTGCACAAGCACTTGTGGAACAGGCAGCACCCCCACCCTGGAGGAACACTGTTCTGGGTCCTCAGAGAGGTGTGAGGACCCCCCAGAATCTCTGCTCTTCACAGATGACCCCAGTCACCCCAGCTCTGCCGCAGCAGATGTGCCTGAGGGTGAAGAACCCCCTGGCACCCCCAGATTACATCAGAGCTCCGCCTCTCACCTCTCCAGACAGGAATGGGGCAGCGCTGCGAGCCCCTTACACATCCTGGCAGGTGGTCTGGGGCCTCTGCTCTGCACACGACTTCTCAACAGCCAACAGGAAAAGTCTGAAAACCTCCTCGGGTCTGGGGCTGCCTCTCCAGCTGAGAGAGATATAGGCTCTGGCCCAGCCCCCTTTGGCTCCCTGGACCAATCAGGGCTGCAGAGGAAGCTGCAGCAGGAGAGGGCTGTGCTGCTGGGCTGCCACCCTCTCCTGCTGAGATCTCCTCAGGGTGGCAGGGTGGCTGGGGTCCCCTTACAAAGGACCTTGGTTCCGACCTAAGGTCAGGCCGCCACAGAGACTGGAGGCGGGAGGAGGCCCAGGAGCCAAGGCCAGAGTCCAGCCACAGATGAGACAAAGTGACCTTTATCAAATCAAAGCACTTATAAAGGTGTGTATGTGTGTGTGTGTGTGTGTGTGTGTGAACATATGCACATGTATGTGTATGTGTGTATATGTGTATATGCATGTGTGTCTATATGTATGTGCATGAATGTATGTGTATGCGTGCACAAGTGAATGTGTGTATGTATGACTATGTATGTGTGCATGAATATATATATGTATGTGTGTATGTGTGTGTATATGTATGAGAGTATGTGTGTATATGTATATGAATATGTATGTGTGTGAATGAATGTGTATGTGTGTATGAGTGTATGTGTGTATATGTATATGAATATGTATGTGTGTGAATATATGTGTATGTATGTGTGTACACATTTATGCCTGTATGTATGTATATGTGTGTATGTGTATATGTATGTGCATATGTATGGATGTGAATGCATATGTCTGTATGTGTATATGTTTAGATGCATATGTGTATATGTGTGAATGTATGGATGTGAATGTATGTGTCTATGTGTGTATATGTTTATATGCATGTGTGTACATATGTGTATGTATTTGTGTATGTATGTATGTGTATATATGTGTTTGAATGTACATTTATATATGTGTGTACATGTTTTTGTATATGTGTATGTATGTGTATGAGTATATATGTGTGTATGTGTATATGTATGCATTTGTATGTATGTGTGTATGTATGTATGTGTCTACGTGTGTATATGTACGTGTATAAGTGAGTGTGTATGTGTGTGTATTTTCTTTGAACAACGGCTCTCTCTGCTTTTTTGCAACCCTACCCTAAGCACAGTCACTTGGATGTCCAAATGGTCGTCCACAAATACTGAGAATGTATCCAGGCTCTGCCGCTCACTGGCCAACTCAACAAAGGCCACTAATTAATCATGGCTGATGACCTGCAACTTGAGGGAAAAGGAGCAGATGACCTTGGGCCTTGGTGAGAGAAAGTCAGAGGACTTGGGTCCTTGTGGGTGAGGGGCAGAGGACATGGGGCCTTGGTAGGAGGAACAAGGGGACCTTGGGCTTTGGTG